GTTGATAGCTGGTTGCAGAAGGGCGCTCGCTGTGTCGTGGGTGGCGTAGCATGGTGTGAGTGGTGCATTGTGGGCTCTGAGGGATGGTGACCTCGCTGTGAGCAGCAGGTGGCCGTCATGTCTAATCTAATCGCTGCCTGGAGGACAAGGACAAGCGTGGAGCAGCAACAATACCTGCCGGCGCTTGTGGGGATTAGCACGCATGGAGGAGCATTTATATATATTTCAGGAGACATTTCTTCATCCACCAGACTTAAAGGGAAACTCCAGCCTTCCCTTCAGTGGTGCCACCGTTGTACCGGCTCCTCTTCTGGACTGAAATTGCTTCCTCTGATTTCACTGCACACTATGAGCTTCTCACAATGTGCATTAGAAGCTAAAGCACGTGAGATAGATCCTGCCTCATTTCCTGACATTTCTAGTCCCTTCCTCCTTAGCCTGACTGTCCCTGGCCCCAGTGGTGCATTAGGTTTTGCGCTGCCCTAGGCAACACAAAAATTAGTGCCCCCTTCCCCGCGCAGAAAGAGTCTAACATTGACCAAGAACAACCCTGCCCTCCACCTGAGCCTTCCACTACTACTGCCCCCCATATACCAGCCACCATCCCCCAAGGTGAGAGAGAGAAAGACACCTTCACATCTCTGGACATCCCCAGGAGATGGTGACCATGGATGATGCCTGAACAAAGATGCCTCAATCTCAGTCCAAGAAGTAGACTGTGACCCTGGATGATGCCTGAACAAATATGCCTCCATCTCAGTCCAAGAAGCAGACTGGGATCCTGGAAGATGCCCGAACAAAGATGTCTCTCAGTCCAGGAAGTCAATGGTAACCCTGGTTGATGTCTGAATAAAGATGGCCCCATCTCTCTCAAGAAAATAGATGATGACCTTGGATGAAACCTGAACAAACATGGCTGCATTTTAGTCTACGAAGTAGATGGTGACCCTGGATGATGCCTGAACAAAGATACCTCCATCTCAGTCCAGGAAGTAGATGATGACCCTAGATGATGCCTGAACAAAGATGGCTCCATCTTAGCCTAGGAAGTTGATGGTGACCCTGAAAGATGCCTAAACAAAGATGGCTCCATCTCAGTCCAGGAAGTAGATGGTAACCCTGGTTGATGTCTAAATAAAGATGACTCCATCTCTCTCAAGGAAATAGTTGATGACCTTAGATGATGCCTGAACAAAGATGGCTCCATCTTAGTCTAGGAAGTAGATGGTGACCCTGGATGATGCCTGAACCAAGATGACTCCATCTCAGTCCAGGAAGGTAATGATGACCCTGGTTGATGTCTGAGCAAAGATGGAGCCATCCTTCTGGAGAGAAAAGTGGATAAAGGCATTGTCAGGGGGAGTTTTTTAATTTCTGTGAGAGTAAATAAATACCTGTAAGGGTTACTCTGACACAGAATATATGTACATAACATGAAAAAAATACACTTTAAGATCCACTTTAAGATTCTCCATCCTTATATTGACTACAGCATAAATAGCAAAAACTGTCCCCTGCTAGCACACTGTAGAGAAGGACCCTTGCTTTCTGGGTGGAAGCAGTAGTCTCTCTGCAATCAGGAAAGCTAATGTTCCCCACTAACTGGAGAGTGCTAGCTCTGATTTTCTATGATTAAGCTCCATGGTTGGGGTGAAAAATATCAGAGAGTGTAGTTAGGAGGAGTTTAGGCTGAAGCCGTATCTTCACCTTTCTGTACAGAGGTTGGGCTTTCGTGTGCAGCGTTTCCACCTTCTGTCTTCTGATTCAGTGCCAGACCTCTGCAGAGAGACCACTGCTTCTGCGTACAGAGCAAGGGTCCTCCTCTGCACCATGCTGGCAGAGGACAGGCTTTTCTACTCAGACTGTGGTTGTTGTTTTTTTTTTTTTTTTAATGAACTGTGGTACTTTGCACACCTTTGCTTTGACACATCTGGAATGTATTTAGCTGATTTAAACTGAAACCAAAATTCAGAGTGTAATTGGGCTTTAATGACATGATACAAACAATTTGTAAGATGTAAAGAGTAAGAATTCAGCGAACGCTAAAACAAAGGGGGATGAAGCAGCAAATGCACTAAAAGGAAACCATAAAACCTTAGTGCAGCGCTAAAAATGATATAGGAATAAAAAGTATAAATGAATGTACACATAAACGCCTGAGACTCAAGTGATAAAACCTTAAAATTGTAGGGAAACTTAATATATAATGTCCTAAATATAATATGCAATAAAAGTTCAAAGTAAGTGGAGATATGATCAGGATGGTGACTCTAGTGATCCCAGTGAGGCATATAATTTGGTGATGTGCAGGAGAATAGTAAAATTGCGCACTCACCAGATGCACAATTTATAAGTGCAATAATCAAATACACCAGAGGTCCCCTCTGTCCTGGAAAGGATGCAGCTCGGACTGGGTAGACTCTTCCATGGGTATGGGCAGTGAGATGACGCCTCTAGAGGTCTCCTTAAAGGGTAGGCTGCGGTGGGGGTCAGCAATGGATCACTCTCCTCTGGGCATTGGGATGGTCACCTTGGGTCCAGCTGGATATATAAGATGGCCGCTGGACCTCCGTGATCTGGTGGCGTGACATCACAGGCGTGTGTGGCTCCTCCTTAAAGCATTTCGTACACCTAGTACATTGTCAAAAGGGGTGTTGCCATCAATGGTTGACCCCCACCGCAGCCTACCCTTTAAGGAGACCTCTAGAGGCGTCATCTCACTGCCCATACCCAGGGAAGAGTCTACCCATTCTGAGCTGCATCCTTTCCAGGACAGAGGGGACCTCTGGTGTATTTGATTATTGCGCTTGTAAATTGTGCATCTGGTGAATGCGCAATTTTACTATTCTCCTGCACATCACCGACTTATATGCCTCACTGGGATTACTAGAGTCACCATCCTGATCATATCTCCACTTACTTTGAACTTTTATTGCATATTATATTTAGGACATTATATATTAAGTTTCCCTACAATTTTAAGGTTTTATCACTTGAGCCTCAGGCGTTTATGTGTACATTCATTTATACTTTTTATTCATATATAATTTTTAGCTCTGCACTATGTGTCCTATAATTTGTAAGATGTGTCTAACATTTCTTTGCTTCAGATTCCCATCGTCTCTGGCACACCAGCCAAATTATCAAATCAGGCTGGCGGCATTTAAAAAAGAGCAGAGAGCGGGAATGCACCACACAGCCGACTTTCTGCATTCTTCATGCACAGCAGCTTTAATGGCGTCTTGTTTCAGGCCACGGAAGGTGTTCAGTACAGAGTTTAGGCATGTGATGGGGAATCTATGCATGCTCAGAAAATGGAGTTTTAACTCTGCAGGGATAGTCAAGATTACACTGGTCATGACTGCCGGAGTTTAATTGATAGACCATTTTGGCGGTGGAGGGAGATGTATCCGGGCATGTGGAATCATGCATGAGCCACCGCGGACTCCTGCCCAGGATTGCGATATCTAGGGAAACATTGCCGCCATAAGACGTCTTCCACTATGAATAATTCACCACTATCACTTGTGAAATATTTATTGCTCACGTTAGTGAGGAACGAGCAACGACCCAGAATTCAAATGTGTACAGACAGGCACTGACCCGACCCATCATCTCACTAACAAAACTCAAGTTCAATGAACTCATACACGAGAGTGTGTCCTATATACAGCACAACTAAACGTGACAACAGACCGCACAATGGAACAAACTGAGCAGCAGTGACTGGGCCGGTGACTGGTTGCTCCCAGAACTCATTGAACCGGTCTATTGCACTGGGTAACGTGCAAATCTGCTCCCTGGACAGAACATTCAGGATCTATTGTGCTGTAGAGGGGATTTATTAAATGTGGACCTAGAGTGGGGGGGGGTAGTTTCTACAATATTCCTTGGATAGTCCTTATCTTCTTCAAGCTCCCAAGTCAACACAACTAATGGAAGGGGTTAATGTGGGTTACAAAATTCCTTGGATAGTCCTGATCTTCTTTAAGCTCCTGAGTCAACACAACTAATGGAGGGAGGTTGATGGAGTTGGGAGGGTTTTACAAAACTCCTTGGATAGTCTTGATCTTCTTTAAGCTCCTGAGTCAACACAACTAATGGAGGGAGGTTGATGGAGTTGGGAGGGGATTACAATACTCCTTGGACAGTCCTGATTTTCTTTAAAACTTGTCAACACAACGTATGGAGGAGTTTGGGGTCTATAATATTCCTTAGCCATTCCTGATCTTCTTCAAGCTTCTGAATCCACACAAGTTATATAGTGGGTTGGGGGGGGGGGGTTACAGTATTCCTTGGACAGTCCTGATCTTCTCCAAACTCCCGATTCAATGCAACGTATGGAGGAGGTTTGGGGAGAAGGAGTTACAATATTTCTTGGGCAGTCCTGATCTTCTCTAAGCTCCTGAGTCAACACAACGTATGGAGAGGGCTAGGAGGGTTCAGCAAAATTTCTTGGTTAGTCCTGACCTTCTCAAAGCTCCTGATTTAGCACAACTTATGAAAGGGTTTGGGGGAAGGGGGTGTTACCATATTTCTTGGACAGTCCTGATTTTCTCCAAGCTCCTAAATCAACACAACTTATGCAGTGTGCTGGCAAGGCTCAACAATATTCCTTGGACAGTCCAGATCTTCTTCAAGCTCCTGAGTCAGGACTACCTATGAAAACGTCTGTCTCTCAGTTCAAGTTTGCCGCAAATACTATTCCTGATACATCTTTACAAACCCTGTTATTCTTGGCTCTCAATGGCCCTTGTGGTCAGTCCAAAGGATGATGACTTTGTATAGTAAAAGTCAGACATGGCACTACACTGAACAAGAGGAGAGTTGGTGGTGATTTAAGGCTTTGGGGGCATTTCGTGGTCCAGTCACCGAGAGATAAACAGTGCATCCAACACTTACATTTACTAAAGTCAAAGGCCAGGCAATTTTCTCTGCTCCTTGTACCATCTGTTCAGAGAGTGAAAACTCAGTCCTGTCATCTGAAGCCCCCCCTATGCTCAAGGAGGACCCAGACTGCTGACAGTGGTATAGCTGAATTTGGAAAGAGATGCCCCGGTGGCTATTATATCCTCCTCTGGTTCACGAAAACGCCGGCAAGGCTTAATGCAGCCTGCAAACGTTCCCAGGAAGGCTTTGCGAAAACGTTTGTTCATGAAGCAATAGATGATGGGGTTGACACAAGCCGATGTGTAAGACAGGAGGTGGATGAAAGAGATGGGCGCCCCAGAGAGGATCCTGAATGCTGACTCTTCATCGAAGGCCTTCCAGGTGTTGGCGACGTAGATGGGCATCCAGCATATGAAGAACATGGCCACAATGACAATCAGCATGCGGATGACCCTCTTCTTGGCCATGAGTTTGGCCTCCGAATTGTTGACCCGTGCTCGATCTATCTTGCTGCAGCTGCTGGGAGTCAATGTGGACATCTCCATGGTGTTGCGGCGTTTGTTCACTTGGATGTAGCAGCCGTCACCCTCGTCACAATTGGTAGTTGACGTTGTTGCTCCTGTAGTCACTCCATTTTTAAGGGCTAAGAATAAAAGAAAATCATTATTATTATTATTTTTATTATTAATACAGCAAAAGCCCGCCAGGTTTTTCAAAGGTAGAAATATAGAATAAAGTAATATATGTTTTTTTTATTAAATCTTTGTAATACAGTATGTACGATTTCTGCAATGGGACAATCAGGGAAATTGTGAAAAGACAAAGACATGAAAAGGGAACACTTTTCTGAAGGGAAGGGTGTCACACTCACCTCCTCCCCAACCCAGAACTAGTTAACCTCTATGACATGCGACCGCTGACAATTTGGGGTTCCACCTAGAATGCAGATACTGTGGCCAATCAGCTAACAAACGCCACCTTAAAGGTCTAGGTAGTCAAGTGTCTGAGTTACAGGATATGATGCCATGAAGCCAAGCCCCCTCCTGCAGTCCTCTGTGCCTGCTTGTGTCTCCAGCACCCCTTGTGACTCCTATGTCCTCAGTGACCTAGTTGTGACTAAAGAAACTCCTGTGGCTCAAGAGAACTTTGTAATTTTAGCAACCCCTGAGTCTCCAGCAACTTTTGGGACTTCAGCAATCCCTGGCTATGGCAACTCCAGTGTTTCATGTGTCTCCATCATCTCCATTGACTTCTGCACTTCTGTAACCCTAGCATCTACAGTGACTCCTGTTTCTCTAGACACCCCTATGATTCCAGGGACCCATATGTCTTCAACAGCCCTTATGGCTCCAAAGACCCCTTTCTCTCCAGTGACTCTTGTGTCTTCGCTGAATCCAGAGTCTCCAACAACCCTGCACTCTTGTATCTCCAGTTACCTATGTGCCTCCAGTGAACCCTGTGTCTTTAGCGACCCTTGCAGCTCAAGAGACTCCTATATCTCCAGTATATCCATTGACTCCAGTGTCTTCAGCAACCCATGTGGCTCCCAAGACACCTATGTCTCCAGTGACTCTAGTGTCTCTGGTAAATCTTCAGAGACCTTTATGTCTCCAGTAACTCTAGCTTCTCCATTGATCTGAACACCCCTATCGCCAGTTACTCCTACTGTATGTCTCTTGTAACTCCTATGCCTTCAGCCACACTTTTGACTCCAACAACCCCTGTGTCTTCAATGACCCTTTTGGCTTCAGAGATCCCTAGGTCTCTAGCAACTTCAGTGTTTCCAATGACCCCAGTATCTCCCTTTACCCCTGCATCTCCTATAACTCTTGTATCTTCAGTGAATCCAGTGATGCTTGCCCTCCAATGTCTCAAGGGACCCTAACATCTCCAGTGACTCCTGCTCACCTGTGTCTTTGTGACTCCTGTGTCTTGAGTAACCCAGCGTCTCTGGTGACTCCTGCATGCCTATATCTCCAGAGACTCCTGTGTCTCCACTGACCCAGTGCCTCCAATAATCTCTGCACTCCCGTGTTTCCAATGATCCATGTGCTCCTATATCTACAGTGTCCTCACAACACCCTGTGACTCCTTGGAATCTAGTGTCACTAAGTGACTCCAGAGCATCCTGTCCCATGCAGTGACCCCAGAGCACCCTGTATCATCCTGTCATTCCAGAATGCCTCCATGTCACCTGCATCTTCACACAGCCATAGGTACAGGTTCTTATATAGCGCCATCAATTTACACAGCGCTTTACATATATATTGTACATTCACATCAGTCCCTAACCCTCAAGGGGCGTACAATCTAAGGTCCTTAACTTACATTCATACCTACACATACTAGGGACAATTTAGACAGGAGCCAAGGATGGGGAGAAAACTAGGAGCTCGGTTTTGGAGAGGTTTAGTTTGAGGAAGTGGAGTGACATCCAATCATGCGGCACTGAGATGCAAAATAAAGCATAAAAAAGGTAGAAAAACAAGTGTTGTATTAAAAATAAATGCCGATGTTTTCTAAACTGTGAGATTTGATAACATAAAACTGTGCAGTGTGATGAATACGATGCGTGCTTGCAAGGAATAAAGGAAGAATCCGGCATGTATTTTGATTGTCGAATCTTCCTTTACACAAGGACCCGGTCTCTATACAGGGAAGGGGTGCGATTATTCTGGTGGGGGCGGAGGTTTGTGGTCCAATACATAGATTCATGAAATGGAAGGAATTGAAGTGATCTAACGTGACGTGAGCAGATCTGATCTGCAGATTTCTCTGATCTGCCAAATGGAATAGAAATTAAAAAGAAGAAGAATGCGAATATAAATGGTACACAAGCCACCGCACAGAACAGAAAAGATGTCCCTGCCGTGCTGGCCTTGATGCCCCCCCCCCCCCCAGGTGGATCTGTAGTTGTGGAATGGACATCGTGGATGGGTCCCCCCACTGCATCACATGGTGTCTTCTTCCCCCCCTGTCACTTATCACCATAGTAATTTAATAATACCAGTTTTGTGACTGTAATGGGGGGAGGGGAGGGGGGGCGCACTCCATCTGTCAGTCACCAGCTGGTCCTTCCATATTTTGTGAATCCGTGTTTATAAAATCTGCTTCCCGCTGACATTCGTGTGTCTATAAATACTCTCCTGGTGGTAGGATTCTACATTGCTGCACTGACAACTCACTGACACACTGTGGCACTGACAACTCATGGATACATTGTGGCACTGACAACTCATGGATACATTGTGGCACTGACAACTCATGGATACATTGTGGCACTGACAACTCATGGATACATTGTGGCACTGACAACTCATGGATACATTGTGGCACTGACAACTCATGGATACATTGTGGCACTGACAACTCACAGATACATGTGGCACTGACAACTCATGGATACATTGTGGCACTGACAACTCACGGATACATTATGGCACTGACAACTCACGGACACATTGCTGCACTGACAACTCACTGACACATTGTGGCACTGACAACTCACGATACATTGTGGCACTGACAACTCACGGATATACTGTGGTACTGACAACTCATGGATATTTTGTTGCACTGACAACTCAGGGCTATTGTACAGCGCTGAGCAAACCCTTTGGCGCTATATAAACTCGATGTAATAATAATAATAATAATAATATTGTGGCCCTGACAACTCACGGATATATTGTGGCACTGACAACTCACGGACATATTGTGGCACTGACAACTCACGGATATATTGTGGCACTGACAACTCACGGACATATTGTGGCACTGACAACTCACAGATATATTGTTGCACTGACAACTCACGGATATATTGTGGCACTGACAACTCACGGATACTGACAACTCACGGATATACTGTGGCACTGACAACTCACGGATATATTGTGTTGCACTGACAACTCACGGATATACTGTGGCACTGACAACTCACGGATATATTGTGGCACTGACAACTCACGGATATATTGTGGCACTGACAACTCACGGACATATTGTGGCACTGACAACTCACGGATATATTGTGGCACTGACAACTCACGGACATATTGTGGCACTGACAACTCACAGATATATTGTGGCACTGACAACTCACGGATATATTGTGGCACTGACACAACTCACGGACATATTGTGGCACTGACAACTCACGGATATACTGTGGCACTGACAACTCACGGATATATTGTGGCACTGACAACTCACGGATATATTGTGGCACTGACAACTCACGGATATATTGTGGCACTGACAACTCACGGATATATTGTGGCACTGACAACTCATGGATACATTGTGGCACTGACAACTCATGGATACATTGTGGCACTGACAACTCATGGATACATTGTGGCACTGACAACTCATGGATACATTGTGGCACTGACAACTCTGGACAACTCAACTCATGGATACATTGTGGCACTGACAACTCACAGATATATTGTGGCACTGACAACTCACTGATACATTGTGGCACTGACAACTCACGATATATTGTGGCACTGACAACTCACTGATACATTGTGGCACTGACAACTCACGGATATATTGTGGCACGGACAACTCACGGATATATTGCTGTAGTGCTCAGTCTGCCGATAATACACACCTTGCTACTTCCATCCCCGCCATCTGCTTGTCCTTGTGACAATACAGGGGGCGGATCTCCCCGCACTGCAGATTTACACGCCCGGGCCTGAAGGTGAATAGAGGAGGGGGGGGGGGGGGTGCTGGAGATCACTTATTTATACAACAGGAAACTGTGCACCCCAATAATGTATCAGTGTCTAGTCTGAGCGCCCCAATAATGTATCAGTGTCTGGTCTGAGCACCCCAATAATGTATCAGTATGTAGCCTGAGCCCCCCAATAATGTATCAGTGTCTAGTCTGAGCGCCCCAATAATGTATCAGTGTCTAGTCTCTAATGTGCATACCCCCAATAATGTATCAGTGTCTAGTCTGAGTGCCCCAATAATGTATCAGTATGTAGCCTGAGCACCCCAATAATGTATCAGTGTCTAGTCTGAGTGCCCCAATAATGTATCAGTGTCTAGTCTGTGCACCCCAATAATGTATCAGTGTCTAGTCTGAGCGCCCCAATAATGTATCAGTGTCTAGTCTGAGCGCCCCAATAATGTATCAGTATCTGGTCTGAGCACCCCCATAATGTATCAGTATGTAGACTGAGCCCCCAATAATGTATCAGTGTCTGGTCTGAGCGCCCCAATAATGTATCAGTGTCTGGTCTGAGTGCCCCAATAATGTATCAGTATGTAGCCTGAGCACCCCAATAATGTATCAGTGTCTAGTCTGAGCGCCCCAATAATGTATCAGTATGTAGTCTGAGCGCCCCAATAATGTATCAGTGTCTAGTCTGAGCGCCCCAATAATGTATCAGTATGTAGTCTGTGAGCGCCGCAATAATGTATCAGTGTCTAGTCTGAGCACCCCAATAATGTAGAAGTATGTAGACTGAGCACCCCAATAATGTATCAGTGTCTAGTCTGAGCGCCTCAATAATGTATCAGTGCATAGACTGAGCACCCCAATAATGTATCAGTGTCTAGTCTCTGCACCCCAATAATGTATCAGTGTCTAGTCTCTGCACCCCAATAATGTATTAGTGTGTAGACTGAAAGCCCAAGCAATGTATCAGTGCATAGACTGAGCACCCCAACAAAGTATCAGTGTGCAGTTTGAATGCCCCAAAAATGTATCAGTATGTAGACTGAGCACCCCAATAATGTATCAGTGTCTAATCTGAGCGCCCCAATAATGTATCAGTGTCTAGTCTGAGTGCCCCAATAATGTATCAGTGTCTAGTCTGAGCGCCTCAATAATGTATCAGTGCATAGAATGAGCACCCCAATAATGTATCAGTGTCTAGCCTGTGCACCCCAATAATGTATCAGTGTGTAGACTGAAAGCTCCAGCAATGTATCAGTGCAAAGACTGAGCGCCCCAACAAACTATCAGTGTGCAGTGTGAATGCCCCAATAATGTATCAGTATGTAGACTGAACGCCCCAATAAACTATTAGTGTGTAGTCTGAGCGCCCCAATAATGCATGAGTATGTAGACTGAGCACCACAATAATGTATTAGTATGTAGTCTGAGCACCCCAACAATGTACCAGTGTGTATACTGATTGCCCCAACAAATATCAGTATGTAGACTGAGAGCCCCAATAATGTATCAGTGTGCAGACTGAGCGCCCCAATAATGTATCAGTATGTTGACTGAGCACCCCAATAATATGCCAGTGTATAGTCTGAGCACCCCAATAATGTATCAGTATGTTGACTGAGCACCCCAATAATATACCAGTGTGTAGTCTGAGCAAACCAATAATGTATCAGTATGTAGACTGAGCACCCCAATAATATGCCAGTGTGTAGTCTGAGCACCACAATAATGTATCAGTATGTTGACTGAGCACCCCAATAATATGCCAGTGTGTAGTCTGAGCCCCCCAATAATGTATCAGTATGTTGACTTAGCACCCCAATAATATACCAGTGTGTAGTCTAAACACCCCAATAAAGTATCAGTGTGTAGTCTTAGCACCCCAATAATATATCAGTATGTTGACTGAGCACCCCAATTATATACCAGTGTGTAGTCTGAGTGCCCCAATAATGTATCAGTATGTTGACTGAGCACCCCAATTATATACCAGTGTGTAGTCTGAGTGCCCCAATAATGTATCAGTATGTTGACTGAGCACCCCAATTATATACCAGTGTGTAGTCTGAGTGCCCCAATAATGTATCAGTATGTTGACTGAGCACAATGTGTGCCTAATGTGTACAAATAACGCCACCAACATATTCTATTTCCAGAGAAGTGATGCCGGTCTGGTAGGTCTGATATGTCTGGTAGGTCTGGTAGGCCTGGTATATCTGGTAGGCCTGGTATATCTGGTAGGTCTGGTAGGCCTAGGCCTGGTATATCTGGTAGGTCTGGTAGGCCTGGTATATCTGGTAGGCCTGGTATATCTGGTAGGTCTGGTAGGCCTGGTATATCTGGTAGGCCTGGTATATCTGGTAGGTCTGGTAGTATATCTGGTAGGTCTGGTATATCTGGTAGGTCTGGTATCTGGTATCTGGTAGGCCTGGTATATCTGGTAGGTCTGATATATCTGGTAGCCTGGTATATCTGGTAGGTCTGGTAGGCCTGGTAGGTATATCTGGTAGATCTGGTAGGCCTGGTATATCTGGTACGTCTGGTATATCTGGTAGATCTGGTAGGTCTGGTATATCTGGTAGGTCTGATATGTCTGGTAGGCCTGGTATATCTGGTAGGTCTGGTAGGTCTGATATGTCTGGTAGGCCTGGTATATCTGGTAGGTCTGGTATATCTGGTAGGTCTGGTATGTCTGGTAGGCCTGGTATATCTGGTAGGTCTGGTAGGTCTGATATGTCTGATATGTCTGGTAGGCCTGGTATATCTGGTAGGTCTGGTATATCTGGTAGGTCTGGTATATCTGGTGTATCTGGTAGGTCTGGTATATCTGGTAGGTCTGGTATATCTGGTAGGTCTGATATATCTGGTAGGTCTGGTAGGCCTGGTATATCTGGTAGGTCTGGTATATCTGGTAGGTCTGCTAGGCCTGGTATATCTGGTAGGCCTGGTATATCTGGTAGGTCTGGTAGGCCTGGTATATCTGCTAGGTCTGGTATAAAGAGAATTAATATTCATGAGACTGACACACCGGAACATGACAATGGCTTATAGTGGCCTTGCATGCTTTGATAGACAATTGATTTATTTTCCAATCAATCTCTTCTGATGGGAATACTGATTTGGAGTCAACAACTAATTTGACCGATATGCCATGGAGAAGTGGATTTCCATGGATAGTTAGGATACAACTATAATGTATTTGTCGTATCTCTGTTTTGATCATGTGTTCTCATAATCTGAACGATCAAAATACTAACATATTCATGAGCAAGGTATCTCAGTGCTGCCGATCGATCACATAACAATTGATAATATTCTATCCTGGCTGAGAGGCTCAGTGTGATCAAATCTGATTAAAATTGAGTCTAAATCGATGGGAAGAGAAGTTAAGATCATTTGATTGTTTGCAGATTCGATCATTTTGATTGATCACACATTGACTGGATAAAGAAATCGAAGTGTCTATGGCCACCATTAAGCAGCTCTATCAAATATTTGGTTCATTGGAAAGGTTAGTTCAAGAGAGGGGTGCTGGGTTCTCACTCCAAACAGATTACCGGTAGTTATGGGATGTGTAAATTATAGCCGGTTCCAGGATAAGATCATCTAATACACAGGGAAGATGCCAAACTGTACCTCTCCCCTCCTCCACAGTGGGTGCAGGTCTCCTTCCAAAGGCCCTTCCTCCAGGTGGGATAAAATGAGAGATGAACCTACTGCTGGCCACCATGACACTACTGAAACACTTCAATCTGACCCTGATCGTCCATTATTAATGATCCGACTTCTCTGTCTGACCTCTGCCTCCTTCCTGACCTTTCCTCTGCCTCCCTCCTGACCTTTCCTCTGCCTCCTTCCTGACATCCCTTCTGCCTCCTTGCTAACCTCACCTCTGCCTCCTTCCTGACTTCCCGTCTGCCTTCTTCATGACCTCACCTCTGCCTCCTTTCTGACCTCCCTTCTTTCTAAACTCCCTCCTGCCTCCTTGCTAACCTCACCTCTGCCTCCTTCCTGACCTCACCTCACCTCTGCTTCCTGCCTAACATCTCTTCTGCCTCCTTCCTGACATCACCTCTGCCTCCTTCCTGACATCCCTTCTGCCTCCTCCTTCCTGACATCACCTCTGCCTCCTTCCTGACATCCCTTCTGCCTCCTTCCTGACATCACCTCTGCCTCCTTCCTGACATCCCTTCTGCCTCCTTCCTGACATCACCTCTGCCTCCTTCCTGACCTTTCCTCTGCCTCCTTCCTGATATCCCTTCTGCCTCCCTCTTGACCTTTCCTCTGCCTCCTTCTTGACATCTCTTCTGCCTCCCTCCTGACCTTTCCTCTGCCTCCTTCCTGACATCCCTTCTGCCTCCCTCTTGACCTTTACTCTACCTCCTTCCTGACCTCACCTCTGCCTCCTTCCTGACTTCCCTTCTGCCTTCTTCATGACCTCAACTCTGCCTCCTTCCTGACCTCCCTTCTGCCTCCTTGCTAACCTCACCTCTGCCTCTTTCCTGACCTCCCCTATGCATTCTTCCTGACCTCTCTTCTGCCTCCTTCCTCACCTCACCTCTGCCTCCTTCCTGACCTCCCATCTGCCTTCTTCATCACCTCACCTCTGCCTCCTTCCTGACCTCTGTTCTGTCTCCTCCCTGACCTCCCTTCTTCCTCACCTCCCTTCTGCCTCCTTGCTAATCTCACCTCTGCCTCCTTCCTGACCTCCCCTATGCATCCTATCTGACCTTTTTTCTGCCTCCTTTCTGACCTCACCTCTGCCTCTTTCCAGTCCTCCTCTCAGCCTCCTTCCAAACCTCTCCTCTGCCTCTTTCCTGACCTTTCCTCTGCCTCATTTCTCCCCCTCTGTCTCCTTCCTGACATCTCCTCTGCTTTCTTCCTGACCTCACACCTCTGCCTCCTTCCTGACCTCATCTCTGCCTCCTTCCGGTTTTCCATCCAATATAATAGATTCCAGCCATTTTGCATCAAGCTTCACCCACATGTGGATGTATTTAGGAAGGCGTGGCTGCTTTTTCTCTATGTGGTCACTGACAATAATGTATCGGTGTTACCTTTGGCCTCTTTGTTCAAGTCCATCTCGAACTGGATCCCTCTGTACAGCTCATGAGAGATGAGCCCATAGGCCACGATCATGACAACGCCGGGGATAAAGAAGAGCATGGTCAGTAGGATGACATACCTGAGGACACAAAGAAACATATTGATCTATAGGACAGCCAGTCATAGGTGGAAACCTAACAATTCAGTCTTTAAGCTGAACCCCAGGCAGATATAAAAGGCACAAATATTGCAGCTCTGTATTCATTAGGTCAATATTAGATATGTAGACTTGGTATCAGCCTCTTGTAGTCCCTGTATAACAGAGCTCAGACTGGGGGAGGGAGAAGCCAAACAGTGGTGCTGCAGTGCTTGTGCGCTAACACAGAATATGCTGATAGGAGGAGAGAGCAGAGTGATAAATAGATGAGCTCAACCCTTTGCTTCTTCTCTCTCACTGTCCAGCCACAGGCTGGAGGGGTGGGGGCAACAGATAGCAAGTATAAAGTGACCAGCATTTTAACCCTTCCCTGCTGTATACAAAACAACTGAAATGTTTTGACTATACATACAATTTAAAAAGACCACGATAATCATTGAAAGTACAGGTAATGGCAGAGAAAGTCGTATCCATAAACCCCCCATCTGCCTTTTCTGCTATTCATCCTACCACCTATATATCAGGTATGATTCCCCCACCCATATAAGGCCCACCAGTCACTTTTCCAACAGCATCTGAGACCTTATCTCCATGAGATATTGTCTGGTGTGCCGTGGGAAAAATTGCCTCGGCTCACAAATAGACGGGCAAACTACGGCCCGCGGGCCGTATACGGCCCGGCGGACCTTTTAATCCGGCCCACGGAGCGTGATACTGTCAGGATGATCTGTCCCCCTCGACGTATCTGCGCATGTGCCGGAGATTGCCGATCGGCTGCTAATGCCTGAAACTGGCACATGCGCAGATACGTCGAGGGGGACAGATCCTCATAGGAGACCTACCTACACCGGAACGGCGAGAGGAACGCGCGGCGCAAAGGTAAGTGAATTGACACAGGGGGGGCTTGGGGGACTTAATATGGGGGATGAATTAATATGGGGAATGAATTACTATAGGGGGGATGAATTACTATATGGGGGATGCATTACTATGGGGGATGAATTACTATGGGGATGTATTACTATGGGGGATGAATTACTATATGGGGGATGAATTACTATATGGGGGGTGAATTACTATATGGGGGGTGAATTACTATGGGGGATGAATTACTATATGGGGGATGAATTACTATGGGGGATGAATTGCTATAGGGGGGATGAATTACTATGGGGGATGAATTACTATGGGGGATGAATTACTATATGGGGGATGAATTACTATATGGGGGGTGAATTACTATGGGGGATGAATTACTATATGGGGGATGAATTACTATGGGGGATGAATTACTATATGGGGGATGTATTACTATGGGGGATGAATTACTATATGGGGGATGAATTACTATATGGGGGGATTAATTACTATGGGGGATGAATTACTATATGGGGGAGATGAATTACTATGGGGGATGAATTACTATGGGGGGATGAATTACTATATGGGGGATGAATTACTATGGGGGATGAATTACTATGGGGGATGAATTACTATATGGGGGATGAATTACTATAATGGGGGATGAATTACTATATGGGGGCTGAATTACTATATGGGGGATGAATTACTATGGGGGATGAATTACTATGGGGGATGAATTACTATGGTGGATGAATTACTATATGGGGGATTAATTACTATGCTTACTATGGGGGGAATATTACTATACTTACTATGGATGACACATACACATCATTCATCTACTCTTGGTCCGGCCCCCGGGTCCAATTATAAAATACTTTATTATTTCATAATAAAAGTAATTATAAAATAATTTCTTTGTGTTTGATTCCTATTCAAGAGAATTACTTTATATATAGTCAATATAGGCACAGAGGTAAATTTTTTTAACATTTTCTAATGGTGGTGTGCCTCGTGATTTTTTTCATGAAAAAAGTGTGCCTTTGCACAAAAAAGGTTGAAAAACACTGCCTTAGATTGACATTGACTGCAGCAGGCACAGAGATTTTGCCCCATTTGTCTGTACTTGTTCTGTCTCTCCAATCTAATCAATGAAAGTGTGATCTCTGTAACTTACAGTTGTGATGAGATAGCGATAACTCTAATCTTAGTTGAATAGCACAGGCAGTGACTCGATCAGATGACACCTTGTAGATCGTGTGAAGTTCATTCCATAAACTGAGAGAATCTTACAACAATGAACATCGGATAGGTCAAAAGATCATAATGTGATCTGCTTCATGACATGAGGCTTGAAGCTGAAATGCATTACTGGGAAAAGGGGTGGGCTATCTATACAGCATGAACTAAACCGGAGGAAAGGGAGGAGCAGAGACAAAATACAAAGAACACCTAACCACTTGCCGTCCGGCCCGCTGTATATAAACGGCCGGACGGTGGCACGGGCTGCAGTTCATAAACGGCACCCAACATGAAGGACTGTGCGCGCTCCCTGGGAGCGAGCAGCATCACCGCGATCCGGTGCCCGCTGTGTCCTCCAGACGATCGTTGTGAGAGGTCCCAATCATGTGATCACTGATTGGCCAATCAGTGATCACATGCAGAGTAGTAAGCAAGATGTCACTTCTGACATCATTGCTTACTACGTGTGAAATCTGTCAATGATCACAGAGGTCACATGGTGCAGGGCTATTCACAACAGCCTTGTACCATGTGACAAGCTGTGACCAATCACAGCTCACTCAGTATTTCTCAATGGCTGCAAGAATGCAGCCAGAGAGAAGGAGAAATGATTGCTTTTACAGCCTTTATGGGTGTAAAAGCAATCAGTGTAAAAAAAAAAAAAAATCTTCATCACCCCCCACAAGTAGTACAGTGTCACCATAGTGACACTGTACTGCTAGGGTGACAGTATGTAGAAAAAAAAACCCATAAATAATAATATTAAAAAAAAAAATGTAAAAAAAATAAAAAAATTATAATTTTTGGTCATAAACTAATTTGGGTTATTTTTTTTCACCAAATACATTTTGGCCAAGATTTATGATGAAATATTATTCATTTGCAAAATTCTATAAGAAACACACTTTTTTTACAAAATTTTTGGATACTTTCATTTATATAGCAAAAAAAAATAAAAATCCCAGCGGTGAATAAATACCACCATAATAAAGTTTTATCTGTCTCAAAAAAATGCTAAAAAAGTCACTAGGGTACAGTGTTGCATGACCGCACAATTGTCATTCAAAGTGTGATAGCACTGAAAGCTGAAAATTGTCTTGGACAGGAAAGGGGTGAAAGTGTCTGGACTGGAAGGGGGGGAAAGTGTCCGGACTGGAAGGGGGGAAAGTGTCTGGACTGGAAGGGGGGGAAAGTGTCCGGACTGGAAGGGGGGGGAAAGTGTCCGGACTGGAAGGGGGGGAAAGTGTCCGGACTGGAAGGGGGGGAAAGTGTCCGGACTGGAAGGGGGGGTGAAAGTGTCCGGACTGGAAGGGGGGGAAAGTGTCCGGACTGGAAGGGGGGGAAAGTGTCCGGACTGGAAGTGTCCGGACTGGAAGGGGGTGAAAGTGTCTGGACTGGAAGTGGTTAAAGGCATATGACAGTCATGTGAAACATGACAGTACTGGTGGGACCCCATTACATAATAACTGCTTACATGTCTACCTTCCCTTTTGCAGAGACAGGTGGCTCACAGCTTTGGCCAGTTGCAATATCCAAATGGTTTACTGAAGTAGCATGAAGGTTGTAGCTGGACCCCCCAACCCCCCCGGATATCCACTGGGCCCTAGGCGCCTGCCTAGCTTGCCTTGTGCGAAATCCAGCTCTGGTTTGTGGATTCCAGTTATATTTCTGCTGTTCCTGTCTTTGTTTACTAAGCGTGGCTTATCTGCCATTCGGTAGAGGTTCTGATGTCCTTGTCCCAACCTCATTGCCTGACCCGCCATCCTCACCCGGCAGAGCGCAGAGTACACAATTACTCAGCTGAAGTGGAGCTTATCAGAGAAGGAAGAAGGGAGGCGTAATGCAATGTATGATTCTTCACTATTTACCACTCCACAAGAGCACCAAAACATCAACCTCTGTAGGTCACACATTAATATTATTACACAATCGTGTAGCTCTGACACATACCATAGTGCTGTTCAAAGAACATTGAGCCAGTCACACCAATACACAATGTAGGTGCAGATTGTCTCAGTACATACTATGACCATGAAGATAACCATGGCTGCCAGTAGCAGCAGTCATTCACATACACCAGGAATATCTTACCATGCCTGCTGCACTTGGTTATTTGGCCACTTGAGGCGGCACTGGTAGCCCTCGATGTTCTCCTTCTTAGTGAAGGAGACCAGCCTGTTGTAGACCAGGTATGGGATCATGATGATGATGGAAAGGATCCAGGTGGCAGCGATCACCTTGTAGGCATGGGAGCGGGTCTGCCATACACGGGACTGCAAGGGGTTGCAGATGGCACTGTAGCGTTCAATGGCGATGGCCACAAGGTTGAAAGTGGACACACTGACAGAGATACCTGTACAGAGAGGAAAAAAGGGAACTGCTCAGTGGCTGAAACAGGAGAGGTGGCTTCACAAATACACAGCCAGTCTTTGGCCAAGAAAGATGTTGATGGGCCTTTGTTTGCATCAGAACTGTTTCCCCCATCATACAAACCAAAAAGAATGGAAAGGCAGGTAAAGCAGCTTGATGATGCAGATCAAAATAGGCCAAATGCAGGCCATAGGAGGTCAACTGAAGATTGGAAGGAGATTAATTGTAGAGCACAGGAAGTCAACTGCAGATCATAGGAGGTCAATTACTGATCATGGCAAGTAGAATGCAGGCAAAATGAGGTCATCTGCTGATCAGAAGGGGTCAACTGCAGATCGGAAGGTTAACTGCAGAGCATAGGAAGTCAACTGCAGATCATAAAAGGCCAATTACTGGTCAAGGCAAGTAAAGTGCAGGCCATAGGAGGTCATCTGCTCATCAGAAGAGGTTCAACTTCAGATTGGAAGGAGGTTAATTGCAGGTCATAGGAGGTTAAACTGCAGATCATAGGAATTCAACCACTGGTCATAGCAGGTGAAGTGCAGGCCTTACGAGATCAACCTCAGGTCAAAGGATGTCAGTGACAGGTCATAGTAGGCTAACCTCAAGACATAAGGGGCCAATAGCAGTTCAGAAGTATGTCAAACTCCAGGTCAGGAACAAAGAAGGACCACAAACTGATCTCTAAATAAGGCCCCTTTCACACTGATGGTCCAATCAGGTCTGCCTGTCAGTTTTTCAGGCAGACTAGATTGGACCATCCATAGCTCTCTATGGAGCGGCGGGGTGTCCGCCGACATGTGTCCTACCCGATCCTGTACGCTAAAATCAGACAGATGGGGATCCGTTCCACATCCGTCTGGCAGATCGGATCGGATGACAGTCGGGGGGAAACAGACAGGTTGTACGTTACCATCCAACCGCCCCACACAGAAAATAGCGGGCTGTGTCTACAGTACTCTACAGTAGCAGAGAGGACACAGACCTGCCATTCACTTGCTCAGTGGAGAGATCCCCGGCTCAGCAAGAGGATCTGCTGATGGGTCCCGCCCGTCTGAAAGGGGCCTAAAGCATGAAGAATGAACCTGAAAACCTTTCCATAGGACCATCTACAGAGCCCTTACACTAATTGCAAATAATCAAGATCAAACCCAGTTCTGTTCAAATGGTCTGTAGTCATCTGCATGATGAACACTACTTGACTGTTACAAATTTATTGGCCAATAAAGGCAGCACAGAACTACAGCTAAAAATTTACCCAAAACCCGAATATCAGAACTGAAGCTGGTGCCTTTCCATTGTAAAAAAAGACCAGCCGCTAGTTCACCAAACTGTATTTAAAAAGCTTACTACAATATTTAGAACAAACAATCTAATTTACAATAAGTGAGAACATACAAACCTAAATGTTGAAGACAACTGGAACTATTATAAGGAAAAATGGTGGTTGTTATCTTCTAGATTATTGAAAGAAATCCCACTAAAAGGAGAATTGTAATTACATGGAATACAGTTCACAAATATCTGCTTATAAAGTAGCTCACAAAATGGAATTGGGTTTGATTATTGGCAGTTGGTGTAAAGGTTGTGTAGATGGACATATTCAAAGGTTTTCTGGTCCATTTGTCATGTATTAGATATCAGTTGGGGTGCTTCTGATTTTCATCTTAGGTACATCTGACCTGGAGATGACCTACAATTGACCTGCTATGGTCTGATGTTGATAGACCACAACATAGTAATGAACTGTTGCTGACATCCTTTGACTTGCAGTTGACCTCCTTCTGACCTACAGTTGACCTCCTATGCCCTGCTTCTCACCTACTATGACCAGTAGTTGAACTCTTATGATTGATAGTTGACCTCCTAGGCCCTGCTTCTCACCTACTATGACCAGTAGTTGAACTCTTATGATTGGTAGTTGACCTCCTAGGCCCTGCTTCTCACCTACTATGACCAGTAGTTGAACTATTATGATTGGTAGTTGACCTCCTAGGCCCTGCTTCTCACCTACTCTGACCAGTAGTTGAACTCTTATGATTGGTAGTTGACCTCCTAGGCCCTGCTCTCACCTACTATGACCAGTAGTTGAACTCTTATGATTGGTAGTTGACCTCCTAGGCCCTGCTTCTCACCTACTATGACCAGTAGTTGAACTCTTATGATTGGTAGTTGACCTCCTATGACTTTCAATTGACTTCCTACCTATCTGCAGTTGACCTTCTCTGGAAGTTGATACCTCTCTTTATGTCTCCAGAGCTCTTCTTTAAAAACACACGCTACTGATACAACACATTTAATTGCTTTAAAACCATTTTGCCATTTAAAGAATATCAAAAGCCAAGAGCATGAACCTCTGTCAGGTATTCAGTGCTGTCTTCATTACTGAGATCTCTGTTAGTCGTGTGGACCATCAGAACATAAAAAGAGGGGAGATCTTTGAATGACGATACCTGACCCAATGACAACCCCATGTGGAAGACTAATATATTTTAAATATATTTTTTAAATATTCTTCCCAAATATATTGACATATATTTGAAATACTACAATTACAATTGAAATACTACAATTTTGGGCATATTCAATATATTAAAAAAAAATATATATATATATATATATGTATGTGTGTGTGTGTGTATGTATGTATATATATATACTGTATGTTGAAATGCCTTTTTTATACATTGCAAAATCTAAGAAAGATATTTTTACAAATATATATTTTTTTAAATATATTCTTCAGATTTTTTTTTAACATATGAAAAAGTCATTTTAACATATATTTTTACATATATTTGTAAATGCATTCCAAAAATGTAGATGAAATGTATTTTTAAAGACATACAGTATATTTGAAAATGTATTTTTAAAAATATTTTTTCATATATCTTGTAATAAAACGCATTTCAACACACGCAGTATATATATATATATATCTTTAAAGTATTTCAAATAGAAGTCAATATATTTGGGAAGAATATTTTTAAAATATATTTTAAAATATATTTTTTCTTCCATGTAGGCATACTGAAGGGAAATAAAAAATGGCTTTGGTCTCCTCTTTCTTTACCCAGGGGCCAGTGGAAACAGTACACACACTACATAGATCCTAGAATCTTCCTCTGCCTGCTCCTGTAATTGGTTCAGTGATAGAATTCTGAGCAGAGCTTGAAGTCAAATTACAGTTATCCCCAGCAATGTCCTTGGTTTTCTCTGTACTACTTGCAAGGGGTGCTAATTTTGTAAAGGCATGGTGACGTACATTGTTCTCTGATATAACATTGGTGCTGATCATGTTCTCATAGAAAAGGGAACATATCTCATTTAGCTCTTCGTGTTTTTAAAGATTTCCTCAAGTGCACTGGAAAAATCCATCTCAGTATTTACATGACAGGAGCAGATACGTACATTATATGGCCAAAGGTTTGTGGAAACCTGATCATCACACCTACTATATGGCCAAAGGTGTGAGAACACCTCTCCAAATGACTGAGTTCAGGTGTCTAGAGAAGGGTTCTGTTAATGCTACATCATACAAAAGTCAGGGTAGACATTTGTGTGCTCTCAGCCTTGTAGTAACAGTTTGGTGAATGCCCTTTTCTGTTCCACCATGACTGTGCTCGTCCACAAAGACATAGTTTGACCAGTTTGGTGTGAAGGAACTTGAGTGTCCTGCAGAGGTTCTCGAACCTCAACCCTACTGAACACCTTACTGACAAATTGGAACATCTGACCTGACCTCACAAATATTCTTTTGGCTGAATGGACTCAAATCCCTACTAACACACTCTAAAATCTTATAGAAAGTGTTCTCAGGTAAGTGGAGGTCACAAAGAGGGCCAACTCATTTTAATGTCCATGGTTTTGGAATGGGATGTCCAACAGGCTCCTGTAATTGTAATGGTCAGGCATCCACACATCTTGACCATAGAACTGGGAGGGGATTTGTTCTCACCCATGAAGTAGGCAGCCGTCTTGCAGATGACCTCTCCAAAGATGAAGTTGCCCATGAGGTTGGGGATGAGGGTGAAGGGCATACACAGAAGAGCTACCATGATGTCACTGACGGCCAGGGACAGCAGGAAGGAGTTGGTGATGGTGCGCAAGCGTTTGTTCATGACCAGAACGATGATGATGAGAGTATTTCCAAAGACGCTGAGAAGGAATATGATGCAGTAGAGGAGAATACGCACCCAATTCAGATCTGAAACAACAAAATCTTTCATTAATCCAAAAATAAACTAAGATTTCTTAGTACTGAAAGAAATTTACTGGCAGCCACACATACGTTTATTTGTCATAGCTCTGACCAATATAATCTATTCAATTGATGCAACACAATATTCGAGACTGATGGTCTGTAACTGAAAATGACAACCAATAGCTTTCATCTTAAATTCAGTACCATCTCACCCGAATTGACATCATACCCTGATTTTGCACATCCCAAGCTAAAGATCCAAGTTAAGGTGAGAATTATCGTTCATTAAAAGTAAAACTGTTAAAATACATAAAGCACAGGTTGTCCTCAGTTAGAACAGAATGTCAAAATGATGAGTAGATATACAGGCAGCTGAATATGTGCTAAAAGGTCCATATTTGCTGTGAAGTTGAACCCGATCCCACCGCTCCCACCTTCAGAGCTTCCTTTAGATTGTAAGCTCCACGAGCCGGGCCCTCCTATTCCTTCTGTACTAAAATGTATTGTAATTGTACTGTCTCCCTTATATTGTAAAGCGCTGAGCAAACTGTTGGAGCAATATAAATCCTGTATAATAATAATAATATTAGCCATTTAATGCAATGTGTTGCCTCATTGACCAATAAATAGAAACAATAGGTGGGAGGGGGGACATGATATCTGCATATAACTTCAGCCCACACACAGATGTAAAATGTCCTTTTCTTTAATTTTTGAAAACCAGATGGATGAATAGTTGCATGGAATGGAATATGCATATGGGGTAATCAATGAACCGTATTCAGGTATTACAATTGAACCAAAGAGCTACTGTAACATGCATGCTGAGCATCAGCATGGGTACAGAGAGAGAAAAGGATCATGGGTAGGCAGGGAATCATGGGTAGTCACGCAACTCTGAAAGCAGAGAAGCACTGCCAACTGTCCGATCTCAGCAGGAATGACTGAACAAGCAGAAAACAAGATGTGACCTGATCACTACTGTTCTAGAACAATCATTTCCTGTTGCATCTTCTGTCTTTCCTCTCTTCTATCCTTCCTCCATCCCTCCTCTCACCTTCCTCTTTCTGTTCTCTCCTTACTTCCTCCTTTCCTTCTTCTCTTCTCTCACCCCCCCCCCCCCCCATTATTTCCTCCCTTTCTCTCAGTCCACTTTTCTCTCTCCTTCCTCCTTCACCCCCCCCCCTTTTCTTTTTCCTCCCTCTCTTCTCTCCTTCTTCCCATCCATCTCTGCCTCTCTTCTTTCCTTTGTCCCTCCTTTCTCTCCTTCCTTCTTTCCTCCCTTCTCTCTTTTCCATCCTCCCATCTCTCCCTCTCTCATTTCTTCCTCTTTTCTTTCCCCTCCACCTTATCTCATTCATCTTTCTTCTCTCCTTCCTCCATCATTTTTCTCCTTCCTCCCTCCCATTTTTCCTTCTTCCTCTCTTCTCTCCTTCCTGTCTATCTTCTTTTCTTCCACCCTGTCTTCTAACCTTTCTCTCTCTCTCTCTCTTTCCTCTATCATTTCTCTCCTTCCTTCCCTCTCTTCTTTCTTTCCTCCATTCCTTTTCACCTTTCATCCTCCCTTCCCTCCTTCCTCTCTTTCTTTTTGACTTCCTTTTTCTTCTTCACTCCACTTCCTTTTCTGCTTCCTTCCTCCAATATATCCCTCTCTTCTCTCCCTTCTTTCCTTCCTCCCTCCTCCTCCCTTCTCTCTCCTTCTCCATCCCTGCTTCTCCTCTCACCTCCTCTCTCCTTCCTCCCTCATTTCTCTACTTCCTCTCTTCCTTATTTCATCTTTCCCTCAACTCTTACCTTCCCCCCTCTCTTCTCTCCCTTCTCTCTTTTTCTTTCCTTCCTCCCTCCCTTCTCTACTTCTTCCTATTACTCTTTGCCTCTCCTTCCTCCCCCCTTCTCCCCCCTTCCTCTCTTTCTTCCCTCCTTCCCCCACTCACCCTCTCCTCTCCCCTCCCTCCCACCCCTCCCTTCTCTCCTTCCTCCATCCTTTATCTCCTTTCTTTCTTTCTTCCCCTCCATCCTTTCTCTCCTTTCTATCTTCCTTTATCCCTTTTCTCTATCCTGCATCATTTATTTACTTCCTTCATATTTTCTCTCTCCTTCATTCATCTCTTCTCTCGTACCTTCCTCCCATCTTTCCTACCTCCATCCTTTCTCTCCTTCGTTCCCCCTTCCCTTCTCGACTTCCTCTATCCTTTCTCTCCTATCTTGCTCCCTTTTTTCCTACCATTCTCTCCTTCTCCTCCTTCCTTCGTCCTTCCCTTATTGTCTTCCTCCATTCTTTCTCTCCCATTTTCCTTCTTAATTTCCTCCTTTTTCTCCTTCCCCCATCCTTTCTCTCCTCCTCCATAATTTATTTCCTTCCTTCATCTTTTCTCTCCTTCCTTCACCCCTTCTCTCCTTCCTTCCTCCCCTCTTTCCTACCTCCCTCCCTTCTCTCTTTCCTCCATAATTTCATTCCTTCCTTCATCTTTTCTCTCCTTCTTCCTCCTTCTTTCTAACCTCCCCCCTTCTCCCTTCTCTCCTTCCTCAATCCTTTCCTATCTTCCTCTCTTCTTTCCTACCTTCCTCCCTTTTCTTCTTCCTCCATCCTTTATTTCCTTCTTCATCTTTTTCTCTCCTACCTTCCTCCCTTCTTTCCTAAATTCCTCCCTTCTCTCTTTCCTCATAATTTAATTCCTTCCTTCATCTTTTCTCTCCTACCTTCCTCCCTTCTTTCTTACCTCCCTTCCTTCTCTCCTTCCTCAATCCTTTCTCTCCTACCTTCCTCCCTTCTTTCTTACCTCCCTTCCTTCTCTCCCTTCCTCAATCCTTTCTCTCCTACCTTCCTCCCTTCTTTCCTACCTCCCTCCCTTCTCTCTTTCCTCCATAATTTTATTCCTTCCTTTATCTTTTCTCTCCTGCCTTCCTCCCTTCTTTCTTACCTCCCTTCTCCCTTCTCTCCTTCCTCAGTCCTTTCTCTCCTATCTTCCTCTCTTCTTTTCTACCTTCCTCCCTTCTCTCCTTCCTCCATCCTTTTCCTCCTACCTTCCTTCCCTTCTTCTCTTCCTTCCTCCATCCTTTCCCTCCTATCTTTCTCCCTTCTTTCTTACCTCCCTCCTTCCTTCATTCTTTCTCTCCTATCTTCCTCTCTTCCTTCTTACATTCCTCCCTTCCTCCATAATTTCTTTCCTTCCATCATCTTTTCCCTCCTTCCTTCATCCCTTCTTTCCTACCTTCCTCCCTTCTTTCCTACCTCCCTCCCTTCTCTCTTTCCTCCATAATTTGTTTCCTTCCTTCATATTTTCTCTCCTTCCTTCACCCCTTCTCTCCTTCCTTCCTCCCCTCTTTCCTACCTCCCTCCCTTCTCTCTTTCCTCCGTAATTTCATTCCTTCCTTCATCTTTTCCTTCTACCTTTCTCCCTTCTTTCTTACCTCCCTCCCTTCTCTCCTTCCTCAATCCTTTCTCTCCTATCTTCCTCTCTTCTTTCCTACCTTCCTCCCTTTTCTCCTTCCTCCATCCTTTATCTCCTTCCCCCATCCTTCTCTTCTATCTACCTCCCTTCTTTCCTCCCTTCTCTCCTTCCTCCATCCTTCCCCTCCTATCTTCCTCCCTTCTTTCCTACTTCCCTCCTTTTTCTCCTTCCCTTCCTCCATTCTTTCTCTCCTATCTTCCTCTCTTCCTTCTTACCTTCCTCCCTTTTCTCCTTCCTCCATCCTTACTCTCCTTCCTCCATAATTTATTTCCTTCCTTCATCTTTTCTCTCCTTCCTTCATCCCTTCTTTCCTTCCTCCCTCCCTTCTCTCTTTCCTCCATAATTTCTTTCCTTCCTTCATCTTTTCTCTCCTACCTTCCTCCGTTCCTTCTTACCTCCATCCCTTCTCTCCTTCCTCCCTCCCTGCCTTCCTTTGAATATTCATACATAGTACTGTGTTGTACACTGTGAGTACCCAAGTTAGACTTTAACCAGCTCCCCTCTGAAATCTGTGGGCGCCCTCAACCCTTCCTAGAACCCTTCTTGCTAATGGTAAGGTTTCTACACCATTTACATTACAATATTATAACTCATTCCTGATCAGAGAAGTGTGTAGACATTCCTTCCCTGGTCTTTTCATGAAGTCCTGTCACGTTCAAAGCTCAGGAGAGGATAAAGAGGAACTGAACCACGGAAATGCAGAGAACTCTTTCATCTACAACATATTTGTACTTTTGCTGACCCACACTGCATAGCCAAGAGGGTAACACTGTAATTCACCATGGCGGCTGTTTGTAACAACACCCTCCTGTTTTTCTGTAAGATAGTTAGAGTTGTCTTTTCTCTAACATTCCAAATCTACATGAATTTATTTATACACGTCACAATATACTGCAAATGTGCCATTTTTTCAGAAAAACTCCACATTGTGTCATTAAAAAGCTCCAGTCAGATCCAGTCTTTGCCGAGGCTGAAATCACCAATTTGCTGTAGCAGGAGGAAAGCATTTCCTTAGTCACCTCTACACCAGTAATCAAACTGCATGACCGCATAACTGCAAACATTTTAACTTTGTAGTCAACAGTCACAAGGTGAGAGGCTGCCGCAAGGACTGATTTTTGATAGACATTTGTGAACACAGCCAAGAACTACACAGGCACCAGAATTTACATTATTGTGTCATCTCTCAGTCCAGAAAGTAGATTGTGACCCTGCATGATGCCTGAACAAAGATGGCTCCATCTCAGTCCAGAAAGTAGATTGTGACCCTGCATGATGCCTGAACAAAGATGGCTCCATCTCAGTCCAGAAAGTAGATTGTGACCCTGCATGATGCCTGAACAAAGATGGCTCCATCTCAGTCCAGAAAGTAGATTGTGACCCTGCATGATGCCTGAACCAA